TCATGCTTGGCTACACCCCTCCCCCCCCGCCTCCTCTTACCTCCCCCTGGAGTCTCCGTGCTAATTGGTCCATTGCAGTAACACATGACCTCTAGGGATGTCCGATAATATCGGCCGACCGATGTCATCAAGTCTCCCCCTGAACCGAAGATTTTAACTTTTTGCCGATGTGCCCATATTGTCCAAACACTTTATTTACAATTCTGATATCAACCCATACCGATATAGTGGGGCAGTGGTGCCCTGGTGGTTAAGGAGGTTAACTGCGGCCAGCTCACTAACGTGATTGTTTAAAGCAGTGTTTGGCAATTATTTTGTGCCAGAAAATAACTGAAGTTTTTTTCTTTAAAAAAAAAACTCCCAAGAATTTATTCTCCCATCGCAATTTGCTAATTTAACACCTGATATGTTGCTTTATATTTCTTTATTTTTCCTTTTTTTTTGTACCTTAATAGAAACCAAATATGGACAGACATCAGAACTTCCCCAAAGAGCTGGCGTTGACCTCAGAAGTCAACGCACTTGTCTGTACACTGGTGTTGATAAACAAATATAAATCATATCAGCGTAAACAGGAATTTTCTCCAGACTGGAGCCCCAGTCTGTCTGATTTGAATGTAAACAAACACTCCTCGAATTTACATACTACCTTGTTCCCCGCGCCTTTATACAAAACTTGGTTTTGCATCTGATTTCTGCTGCTTGTTATTGTTGCTCTTTTCTCCCGCTGTCGGATGTGAGCTCGCTGTAATGGTGGCGCCGCGTTGCTTCCACGGAGACTCATTAAATGTCTCGCTAACCATTTAGGACTTTGTCTCCCGTGGCCTTCACTTTAGTAACTTCACTCCAGAGAGAGTTGTATTCTGGAAACTGGTGTTCAGAGAAATCATATTTCATTTTTCCACTTCTTGTCTGTGTTTTGCTTAAACCTGTCTGACAGCAGTTCCTGTTCAGCGGGTACGATTTAGAAAACAAGGAAAATAGACAGTAAAGTTTGCTTGAGTGTGATTGGACCGTGAGTATGACTGACTGATGGCTTGAAACTGAGGCGACTGAATAAAAAAGTAAGAACTGAAGATGACAGACGTCATCTTCTACCAGACTCAAAGATTGTATGACTTTATGACATGGCATTGGAGTTCCCCCCAGCAGTCTAGGCCTTCAGCAGGGTATCTAAGTGATTGGAACCAGAACTATACGTTTATCTAAGGCAGGGTTCACCAACCAGTAACGACTCATGTCACTCTCCTCAGGTGAAGACGTTTATGTCACCTTGTTTGGGACGTGTGAGGAACTGGACGTCCATCTCAGGTCCGACTCCCTCATGTTGAAGAGCACCTACATCTCTCTGGCAAACGTACACACAGTGTCCCTCACCAACAGGAGTGACAGCGTTCTTCAGTACCACTGGTCCGTGTGGCCCACCCAGGAGGAGGAGGACCTGAGTCTGTTGAGGTACGCTCTGTGTGTGTTGAGGCAACAAAATGGCCGACAGGGCGAGTGGCGTTTCAATGATCTTTGTTTTTATTTCTGTTCCGGTAGAGAGACCTCGGTTTGGCAAAACATGGAGGTAGACGAGAGAGAACAGGTTCTTTTCCAGTGCTTGTCTGACCCAACGTTGATCTATTGCGTCCCCCTGCTGGACAAAGCTCTACAGGTTGCTAAACGTCAGGCTGCACAGGAAAGTTTGGCCCTATCAGACGACTGCATAACTCTGGAGCCAGCGGTGAGTTTCTATCGCTTTATCTTTAAACTGACCTTTTGATTACCCTAAAGGTCAGAAGCAGAGGTCACCGTCTATACGTTATTAATAGATGTTAATTTAGGAATACAGTTGTGGGCCGGATTTGATGTTTTTTTTGGGCCAGATTTGGCCCGCGTGCCTCCAGTTGATCACTGATCCAAAGACTTTATATATAGCTCTCAATAATTCAATTATTATAAAAAATACAAAGCAGCAAATACTCGGCCATGTTGAAGCTAAAGTTTCAGTAAGTTTGGACGTGTATCTCGTAGTACTTGAAAGATACGTTTGGCAAAACATGGAGGTAGACGAGCGGGAAAAGGTTCTTTTCCAGTGCTTGTCTGACCCAACGTTGATCTATTGCGTCCCCCTGCTGGACAAAGCTCTACAGGTTGCTAAACGTCAGGCTGCACAGGAAAGTTTGGCCCTATCAGACGACTGCATAACTCTGGAGCCAGCGGTGAGTTTCTATCGCTTTATCTTTAAACTGACCTTTTGATTACCCTAAAGGTCAGAAGCAGGGGTCACCATCTATACATTGTTATTAGATGTTAATTTAGGAATACAATTGTGGGCCAGATTTGATGGTTTTTTGGGCCAGATTTGGCCTGCGTGCCTCCAGTTGATCACTGATCCAAAGACTTTATATATAGCTCTCAATAATTCAATTATTATAAAAAATACAAAGCAGCAAATACTCGGCCACGTTGAAGCTAAAGTTTCAGTAAGTTTGGACGTGGATCTCGTAGTACTTGAAAGGTTCCCCTGACTCTTGGAGACGTTTCTAACGGAGTAATACTGTATGTAGGCCTTCAACAGCATCCGTTCCAAAACACATTTTGTGAAATTAAATTTCAAATCAATAATGTAGCTGTGGGTAAGACGCCTCGCACATCACTGGGAGAAAATCAGGCCAAAAACACAGAGCTTAGAAATAGAACCCTTGGATTCAGATGTGTAGTATTTGTCAGACGTACTGTAACAGTACCTCAGATCTTAAGACATTCAGGTCAACAGGAAGTTAAAAATAGGAAAATAAAAAAAAGAATCTGTCTCTGTTGTCCACATGTAAAATATGAGCGTGTCTCCTCAGTGACAGCAGAGAGAACTGAACCTGAGGGTCTGTAGAGGGTCTGTAGAGGGTCTGTAGTCCCTCAGGTTCGGTTCTCTGACCAGTTCTGACAGTTCTGCTCCTCCTCTGCTCCAGCTCACTCTGGTTCTCTGGACTCCCAGGAGAGACAGAGGGAGGGGAAAAAGTACAGCTATACTTGTGTGGACACACTTTTTTACCTTTGAAAACGACTGTGGTTTTTGAGGACAGTTGTCATTGTGGGGACATTTTACTTGGACGCACAGTGAGAGGGTATTTTTGAGTTTCAAGACTTAGTTTGGAGTCACAATCAGAATTAGGCACAAATCTGTCATGGTTTAAGTTACGATGAAGGGGCTACAGAACTCATTCTGTCAACATAAAGTCTCAAAAAAAAAAACACAACACAATGACCTTCATAAAATTAATTTTTCAACTGTTTCAGTTCAAATATAGCAATTCAATTTTTTCTGGAATTAGTTTTTGTTTTTTGTTTTTTTTTTGTTTTTTACAGAAAGGTGAAATTTGGCCCAAAATGACTCAACAGTTCACCGTTGTCTTCAAACCCAAGGAAGCAGAGCCGTATCAAGAAACCATCTACTGTAATATCACAGGTCAGTGACCACACCAGTCAGAGTCCAGATTTAGGATTCCACATCACGTACCAGAACTAAAGCCATCTTTTGTAGCAGTTACAGGAAATCAGTGGATTTGCCAACGACAAACAAACGTATTTTGTTTGTTCTTCACTGCATCAGAAATAGATGTTTGAACAAACTGAAGCAGACGTCAGATCAATATTTCGAAGGAAGGATCTTTGTGTATTTTTTGAGAGTTGTCTGGTTTTGGCTATCAGTCTGTTAGCCTAACTCTGTTTGGGTTATTGTGAGAGGAAAAAAACCCATATCTTTGCCTCATGTTTGTATTTTCGCAGAATAAAAGACATTTAACCCAAAACAGTCTGAACACTTGGGCAGTGATTAGGCTCCAGTCCAGAAATCCTGGCCCAGGGGTTGGTGAAAGGTGGTTGGCCGATTTGCATTTGGCCTTCTCCTCTGTCTTCTTAGCCGGACGACATATTTACATGGATTTCCATTTTTTACTGAGGGTGATGACCTGGCCAGTCTGAATTGATGGTGGCTGCACTGGAAACTGTTGTAGCCTCATTTATCAACACTGTGATAAAAGAGCTTCTTCAGCGACAGTGAAGGACGCAGCACCTCTGGCCAATGTTTGCTCCCCAATAATGAACGATTTAAATAAAAATTGAGAAAAAGAAAGTTTTTCTTTAACTTCCCTGCCTCTTTCTGTGTCTTTTAGTGTCTGACCTCACATTAAACGTGTCAAGTTTTTGTCTCTTACGTTTAGGACGTCAGTCTCGGTTACCACTCACAATCCGTGGAGAAGGCTTGGGACCACAGCTCTGGCTGGACTACAGTCTGATGAATATGAAAAATGTTTTCATGGGAGACAGGAACTGTTACGAGGTAGGAATGTGAAAGGAAATATGTAGGGCTGTCTTATTCTAATAACGAGCCGATAATATCGGTCGGCCGATATGTGCCCTAAAAATAGTGTTGGGGAAAAACGCTTGCATGTGAAAGTGAAAGCCACTAGATGGCGGCATTGCAGCCCATTTTATTAATCTATATTAATAATCAGGGGATTGTGGTTTGAACAGACAACAAATAAAACAAATAAATATTACCAGGCTCTTTATAAACTCATACAGTGGTTTGAACAAATAAAACAAAAAAAAATATTACCAGGCTCTTTATAGTATGTCAATTCGGGAGGCGTGGTGTACTTTGAAATAAAGCCAGGAATCCTGAAAGTAAAAAAAATAAACAACCTCTGGTTAAAAAGTTAATTTCCTCCTGAGGAATGGACCCACACTGTAGGTCACAGTCTGACATTTCCTGATTTCAATTCAGGGGAGACTTGAGTTTCACAGTTTCACAAAAACTCCATTTCCTCAGCACTTGCAGAAAAAAAGTATTGCGATACCAAAGGCTGCGTGGAACTTTTAGACCTTTTGCAATATTGATATGTTTAGAGAGAGCAGTTAGAGCCTGAGAAGAAACAAAAATCCCACGCTTGTGGTGCATGATGAGATACAGAGATGCTAAGGATGACTGTGCCCGGGTCGAACCGGTTCTGATGGCGAGGCCGGTGGTCGATATAAGACAAGAGTGTGTGATCGAAACAGAATGGACTTTCTTCTAAGTTAGAGGATGTTATAGATACATCTGAGACAGTGGAAACAACAGGTAAAATATAACCAAAAATATAGTAGAATTTAAGACATAAATGCGTCAAGATAAACCCTGAAGATTAAAAACCAGCTGAGTTTAGATTTTTAACAAAAGAAAGAAAAGAAACATGGCCAATCTCTGCCCAAAACCCTGTCTTAGAGTTAATCCTGAAATACATTAAAGGTGGCCAAAGATCCTCTTTGTCAGTCTGAAGTAGTAAATAAGTCAAACTTACAGAATATAGTCTGAGAGTCTGATAAGAATTACCAGCTTGTCTAGAGGATAGCCAAAAAATAGCCAATAAATTGCTAAAAATGTTTTACCTTTTAGATTTTTGAGTAAGAAAATATTGAAAACAGACCCATAAATTATATCCCACAATTTCCCCAGTTCAGTCTAATGTAATCCAACCACAGAATATAGTCTGAGAGTCTGATAAGTCTATAGTCTGATAAGAATTACCAGCTCGTCTAGAGGATAGCCAAAAAAATAGTCAATAAATTGTTAAAAATGTTTTACCTTTTAGATTTTCAAGTGAGAAAAGAGAGAAAACAGACCCATAAATTATATCCCACAATTTCCCAGTTCAGTCTAGTCTAATCCAACCTAATCTAATCTAATAATCTGATAATCTAATCTAATCCAAATGTATGCAATTTTATCTAATCCAGATAAACTCTAAAACAAAAGGCTAACTAAAGGTTAGCTCCTAAATACCTGTTTGCCAGAATATACCAAGACTGGTTCAAGTTAGTTAGTTAAAAGTTCTTTATTAGTTAAAATAAAGAATTACCACTAAGTTTGTCTTCTTTTAGCTAATGCTACATTTATTAAATTTAAAAAACTTCTTAATTTGTTGTTAATTTTAATATTTTGTGAAGCCTAAACTCTAAAACAAAAGGCTAACTAAAGGTTAGCTCCTAAATACCTGTTTGCCAGAATATACCAAGACTGGTTCAAGTTAGTTAGTTAAAAGTTCTTTATTAGTTAAAATAAAGAATTACCACTAAGTTTGTCTTCTTTTAGCTAATGCTACATTTATTAAATTTAAAAAACTTGTTCATTTGTTGTTGATTTTATTATTTAATAAATTAAACCTAAATGTTTATTCTCCTGGTGTTCCTTCAGGTGCTGTTGTCCAACAAAGGTCTGATCGATGCTTCTTTCAAGTTCTCACGCCCCGACACCTTCTACGGCCGCTGTTTTTCCTTCAGTCCAGAAGGGGGTGTCATTCCCTTTGGGTCCTCCATGACTGTCAGAGTCACCTTCCAAAGTCACACCTTAGGGACTTTCTCTGAGGAATTGCTCCTAACTGTTGAAGGACAACCAGAACTTCTGACCCTGACCTTCAGGTGACCGTCGGCTCAGACTTTATTGGTAGATCTGTCGGAAAGAATTTTTATTTTTTCATGGCTCATGGTTGTTTCTTGTCCTATCAGGGGCTGCGTTGTTGGTCCCACGTTCCACTTTGACGTTCTGGAGCTTAACTTTGGAGATGTGGCCTTTGGTGGGTTAGATTTTTTTTGTTTTGCTTTTTACATGTCACATTGTAATACTGTTTGACACCACTAGGTGTCTCAGAGAATTAGTATATCTACAGTTGTTCGGCTTTCAGAGAATTAGTATATCTACAGTTGTTCAACTTTGGCTCAAAAACCTCAATTATTATTTTTTTTAATAATTTCTCAACATCTCCAACTCTCCTCGTAGGTTTCCCACAAACAATGACCTGTACCCTGTTCAACACTTCCTTTGTGCCCATGAACTTTGTCCTGCGAGTCCTGGGAGACGGTCAGGGGTCTCCCAGTGTAACCAGTGACAGGCAGGTGTGTGAGATGACCTTGAACAACTGGCAGGGCGGCGCTGCCAAAG